CAGATCTTTGTTATTCCACGTAGTGTTATTCTTACCAGTAGTATTCCTGTATTAGTGCTATTCTTGTATTTCTTATTTCTAGATCTTTGTTATTACACGTAGTGTTTTTGTTTATTTCTTGTTGTTGTCATTATTGGTTGTTGCTTCCTATTCACTGTTTCTTAAGCCAAGGATCTATCATAAACAATCTCTCTACCTTCACAAGGTAGGGGTAAGGTCTGCGTATACACTACCCCTCCCCAGACACCACATGTGGGATTACACTGGGTTTGTTATTTATTTTATTTATTTATTGCAATTGGTATAACTCTGCATGGGGTGAACTTGGCCATATTGCCAATCTCAACCCCAGACGAAGGAGGGTTGTAGTAGGTTGATGGCCAGCGTGAAAATAGTCCATTCCTGATGAATCTTTTTCTTTTGATAGGTAAGATAAATATTTCATTACTACAAAACAGCACACAGGAAGTACTGATATACAAATGCACAGGAAACACGCTAAGCATATAGAGTACTTACAAATCCAACCATATCATCTCTCTCATATATATTTTTATTTACAGCAAAGCTAACTTCTGTAAGCATATAAAACTCATGAACAGTATCACTGTAGGCAGAGTTATCCCCACGAGGAATCTTCAATTCCTTTCCATCTTTAAAGCCCACTGAACACAAGCTGGAACAGCGAACAGTATCACTTCAATATAATTCCAAGTTCATCACATGGCCATGTAGAGACAATATCACTTCCATATCCAACTCATGAACTAGTGTCAATTCAATAGACACTCAGAATACAGGTTGTCCAAATGAAGCAAAACGGATAGAGTATTCATATAGCTGACCATAACTAGCATGGGATGTTATTGTTATTGTTGTATTGTAATTGATCCTTTTTTCCCAGACACTTTTTCATGAGGAAGACTTATGCTCAATGCTACTTGCGTACATTTATGCGTGCCACATTACAGACAATATAATGCTAAACATATGCACTCACTTACGAGCCTTGTAATTGTCTTTAAGTTTAATACATTTAACAGGTCTTAAACAGTTCGAGCTAAGCACAATAGATAAATCAGTTGAACTTCGTTCAGAGTAAATGTCATCCTCAACGCTGGAAAAAACACATTTCAAAATATAAACTTTCCTTTTAGACAAGTATTTTATATAAGAAAACGAGGTAATCACTTCATCGTACACTGCATTTCTTAATCATGCATGATCAAGAAAAAAAATTAGATAGAATATAATTTTTCTTCACAACTAGCCAAGTTTGGATATGTAGAGCGACTTCTCTCGCAATACCATCACTATAATTGAACACATTTTTGTTTATAGAGTTATGTAATATCCAGGATTCAATTTTAGAACATAAACAATTCGGCAAATTAATATTGGGCATAAATCAGACCAGGGAGAAGATAAGGGGGAATGAAACCTATAATTAACACAGTAAACTATACTCTTTTTTGATAAGTAGAACATGTAAACTACACTCTGAGATAACCAAATCACGCCTCGCTTGTCCTTGTGATAGCAACTTGTAATACTTCAAAGCCAATAACTTTAAGCTATAATCTAGTTTTTCTTCTATCTCACTCATCCAACAGTAGATTGTTATGCCCCTTGACCTGATAAAACCGACAATTTCTTTACTTTGAAAAGCAACCCAATATGCCGTTATCTCAAACCTTGGGAGCTAAATTACAATTTCACCCACATCAAGGAAGCAAGAGACAGTGTTAAAAAAAGGGGCAAGCGAGAAGCGAAGCCGAGCGGGAGGGGTATCGCTACCCGTGTTAAAAGCGGCTCAGGTATGCATAAGCAACCGCTTCTCTCTAAAAAGCGAGAAGCGGTGAAGCGCAGAAGCGATCGAAGCGGACGATTTTTCAATTAAAAGACCCAAATTGCTGTTTCTATTTTAGCACTTCTTCGACTTCTTTAGCAGCAAACTAGGGTTCTTCAAACCAGCGATTTCTTCCTCACTTCAAGCAGCGATTTGTACAAGTAAACTAGGGTTCTTCTTCTTCTTCTTCTTCTTCAAGATTTCAACAGTACAACAACAACTTAGTTTCACCAGGTATGTTTTCCAGATTTATTTTCATTCTTCTTCTTTTTCTTTTTCTTTTTCTTTTTCTTTCTAAACGTCCAAAAAACGCCAAAATGCTGGCGAATTTTTTTCAGAAAAATTATGCCCAATTTCTGCCCAATTATTTATTTTAATTTTTTTTTAAATTCCGCTTCACTTAAAAAAAGTGGGCACTTCGCTTCTCGCTTTTCGTGAAATGGGGGTTGCCGCTTTTCCTCGCTTCACGCTATTTTTAACACTGGCAAGAGATGATTAAAGAGCAAGAGGATTCTTCACTCAAATGCAAAACAATCAGCATCATATCTTAGCCAATCAAACCCCAAAATGTCAACCAAAAACAAAAACTATCAACACATGTTGCTATACACTTCCACATATATAGTTCAATGCAGAGAAGAACAATAAACCCCATAAAAGAAAGATTCAATTTTTAGGAGCCTTTGACCAAACAGAAATCAGATTGATTAACAACAAATCAAACATCAATCCACCAACCTAACTACACCTCAATCTCAAACTAGTTGGCGCCAGCTAAATAAATCCTTTATATCCATTTCATTTCAACAACGAGAAATCATATGTATCTAAGGTAAAAACCTACAACTCGTTTTTTCCCCCTTCCATAAGGTTCTCCAATTTCAAATTCCAAGCAGTCTAATCTAATTCGTAGATCTATGATCCAACAACACTACAATATCAAATTCATACTTCGTAAATTCAGTCGAGAAGAGGAAATGAAATGAAAAGAGAAATGGGGCTAGGGTTAGGGGAAATTACCACATGACGGCACACAATCCCTTTCCGGTGACACTGTGCCAACGCTTAGGTTGATGAATTGTAATTCCTTTGTAGGTCACGCCATGTCCGTGTCCACCTCCCATCTCTCTCTTCCTTTCTCGAAATGCTTCAGTTCTCTCAGTGGCTGAATCGGTGACTTCTAGAATAAACTGTTAGAAGAAGAACTATTCGGGTTATGGGCCTGTTTTTTCTTCCAAAAGAGTGAAATTAACTACAAGTCCCTGAAATATTTTAAGAAGTCAATTTAATCCATCGCTTTTGATTATATTACTTTTAATACCCCTCTTATTTGGTCGATGTTAAAAAATAAATATTTGAATAGAAATACTAATTAATTTACAGTTTGGACATAACTTCACTTGAAAAAGTATGTCAAAATTAGCGATTTGTGAGTTGAAATTTTTTATTTGAAAAACTTTTTCATATAATTATGGTGTTCGGACTAGCTTGCGTTTTGATCACCTCGTGTTTTTGCCTTCGATTAAATTTGAATCTTAGATCGGATGGTTCGCAACCAAGCTCATTGACAACTAGACCACACCCTTGGATACTATTTCACTTTAAAAACTTCTCAAATCATATTTAAATTTCAAATATTGGAGCACAATATTTACATATATTAATCGCTAAACCACTCTTTTCAAAGCACAGACATATTGCCTAGTTTGAACTATTTAATGGGAGGAACATAGTATTTTAAAGCATAAAAGTATTTGAATTATTAGTATATCATGTCTTACATCAATATAACAACAAGAACGACGACCCAGTAAAGTCTCATAAAGTGGGGTTTGGGGAGGGTAGTCTGTACACAAACCTTACCCCTACCCCGATAGGGCAGAGAGGCTGTTTCCGATAGACCCTCGACTCAGGAAGATGGAAATAAAATAAGAAAAGATAATTCATCAGTATCGTCAACATAACCATAAAAATAGTGATATCATCCTAAAAACCATAAAATAGATGACATGCAATAACAATAACCAACAACTAAAGTCCGGAGCTATGGAAAACAGTAAGGGTAGTGCTACATTAACCACAAACCGTCTACGACCAACCTACTCAAACTCGCTTCACCCCCGGAATAGAGAAGGAGAAGCTCGACTACCATCCTAGCCTACAACCCTAATGCTCGACCTTCAGACCTTCCTATCAAGGGCCATGTCCTCGGAAATCTGCAATCGTGCCATGTCCTGCCTGATCACCTCTCCCCAATACTTCTTAGGCCGACCTCTACCTCTTCTCGTACCCACCAAAGCCAACCGCTCACACCTCCTCACTGGAGCATCCAAGCTTCTCCTCCGCACGTGCCCGAACCATCTGAGCTTCATTTCCCGCATCTTGTCATCTACAGGGGCCACGCCCACCTTCTCCCGAGTATCTTCATTTCTAATCTTATCTATCCTAGTGGGCTACAATATAGTATATCATGTCTTACATCAATACGATATTTTCACATGCTTAGCGCAAGAGAAATACATTAAGCTCAAAAGTGAAGAGGGTGTGTTACATAAATAATACAAATAAATAAAAATGTCAAATTTCTAATAGTTTAAACATTTACAATTCAATATAATAACCTTGTCGATTTCCTCCTCTTATTACTTTAGCCTGAAGAATTCTTCCCGGAAAAAGTTGTAAAATAAAAATTTCAAAGTTTGAATCAATGGTACGGTGACCGAGTTGTAGTAGCATAAGTTGAAGTTAGCTTATTAACAGAAGAATTAACTTAAATAGCTGCCTACCCAATCGTTTAAATTAAAAATAGTTGTAAATATATAATTTATATATAATAGGTATATAATCGTATATAATTTATGTATACTAACTACGAAAAGTAAACAGTGAATCTCGCCGGTTAATTGTGGAAAGATCCCATTAATATTCATAAATGGCTTCTAGAGTAATATACTCCTATTGAGTCTTCAACAACTACTCCATTAGTAAGTATGTTACTCAAATGTTTTGGAGAATATAAGGGAAACAGAAGAAACTCATGCTGATTACTAGCGGCGGAGTCAGAATTTTCGTCATGAGGTGTCAAAATATATAAAAATAAATATACGAGAAAATTAAGGGGAGTCAATATAGTATATATACATATAATTTATTTTTTTACCTGTCTACATAGTGTATTTTCCCCAGGAATTCCTATAAGGCGGCTCCGCCACTGCTGATTACAACTAGTAAAGTATCTTAAAGTATCACAATACAAGAATATTAATTGCATCAATCTTCATCTTCTACTCTATTTTCTACTAAAACCTAAGGATGTTATGATATAATTTCAACCAGATTATCGCATTGAAGAGGTGAGAAATTACAAGAAACATGTGTTCCTCTACATGTAGAAATAGAGGAAATTGCTTCTTCTATTTCAGCATCAGGTTTTGTTCTCAACAAACAGAGAATATATTCCATTAATTCATTCTCACAAGGAACTCTCAAAGGGCCATTGACTGTAGAACCATACTCCTCTTCAGCCATCTCAAGTAAAACTTTGAAAATTGGATGATTTAAATAGTACAATGGCACAACAAATCTCTTGCCTTCCTTTGTATACACAACAAATTGACCTTTTCTTCTTTTTCTCCATTTGGCTATAATGTTACTTAACTTCTTTGTAGGACTCTTCATGAGAATATGCCTTAGCTCTAAACCTCAAAACCCTTAACAAAATTTGAATAAAATTTCAAACAACTCGAATTCGCAACTCGAATCCTTCACTTATTGCTTTTCTCGAGGAATTGCTGGTCTAGATCGTGGAACTCGCTTGAGAAGTAAGTATAAGCTGCTCCTTATGAGTGGAAGAAGCAAAAAATATAAGAGAATAACGTGGATGAGTTGTTTGTGGTTGGAGGTAGAAAAAGGGATGGATTGATATAATAGTGAAAGTGATCTATCTATCTACATAGGTTTGCGTTATCCCAAGGGTGAAATACAAATTGATCAAGCTATAAATACAAGTGCAAGAGAGCAATGGTCTAGATTTGTCTTGAAGTGGAGGTTGTTTTTGGCTACAAATAGATGCATGTAGAAACGTCCAAATGGTAATGCATGGGTAAAATCATCTTCGTGAAATTTAACGTGACTAGATTGCTCATGCGTTGCATGTGGATATATAGAAATTTCTTTCTTATTCTTATTTTTACCTCATGCGTCATATCATGAACAATTTCATATGTATATTGTTGGGTTTTATTTGTTATTAATAACAAAAGAGGTGTGAATGAAAAATGGTGGGAAAAGAAATGGAGGGAAGTGAAATTTTGAATTAGTTCACTTTACTAATGCACATTTTCCCTCAATGGTAGAAGGAATTTTTTTTTTTTTTTTTTTTTTTTTGTATATATAGAGAAGCTCATCTTTTAGCTCTTAAAGAGCTAAGAAGAAGGCAAGCCTCGTGCTGTCGTCGCTTGGCTTTGGATTTGGTCAAAGATTGATTGATTAATCTTTTTAGATAAAATTCTTTTCAAATATTTAATTAATTAATTAAATTAATTAACGGAAATTCAATCCGGAATAATCCATGATCCGTGACCCGGTCCGGTCCGGCCCATTTTCTTTCCCAGATTATTTTAAATCCGTGTTATTTTCCCGCAATATTTTCAATAGCTATGGCTGTTCTGAAACAGTGTCAAACCTGTTCCAACATCTATGGCTGTTCTGAAAGGTTGCAAACCTTTTCAGAAACAATACCAAATTAGCTATAAATATTCCTTCAAATCCCAGAATATTTACTTATGAAATTTTCCGACTTACTTCTTCTTCTTCTGCACAAAAATTCCAGTATGTTTTACACCTTTCGAGTGGTTCGTTGTTCATCTGCGTTTTTGGTACCAATACGCTGGTGAGTTAAATCGTTCTATCCTGGGAGGATATATTCCAGAACCTCGGGTACTTGAGGGGAATAATTTTCTTAAGGACACACTGTGTATTCAGTGTGCTCGATTTGTTCATATACTATTTTTCAGAATTTATTTTGAAGTTACTATACTGTTTTCAGAATTTATTTTGAAGTTACTATACTGTTTTCAGAATTTATTTCTACTAACTTTCTGTTTCTGTTTTTTCAGAAAATTTATTGTTTTATTAATTTTACAGCAATACATATTTCACTAACAATCTTAAGGAAATTATTTTTATTATATTCTGTATTTTGTTTGTGGAGATTAAAACCTTTGTGGTTTTCTACTCCGTCTGAATTTTATTATTCTGATTTGAAGATATAAAAACTTCATCAGAATATTAAAATTCAGAAAATGATTTGAAGAACATAAAGGCTTCATCGTTTTTTGTGTAACAGTATATAAAAACTTTAGTTTTTACATACAGTTTACTGATTATAATATTGTTTATTTTTCTGATTTTTGCTATTAATTGAACTCTTCTGTTGTTGACAGTGAGAAATGACAATTGATAACGGAAATTCTTGTGACGACCCAAAGGGTCATCACCTGTTTTCTTACCCATTATGTGCTTCCGAGGCCTTGAAAACCTCATTTAGAGTCGCTTCAATTTGCGTGCACAGTCCAGACACGTAGTCGGAAAACTTAAATATGAAATTCTGTGAAAATGCTAAGTTTTGATGTTAAAATGAATAAATTTGACTTCGGTCAATATTTTAGGTAAGCGGACCCGGATCCGTGATTCGACGGTCCGGGAGGGTCCGTAGGAAAATATGGGACTTGGGCATATGCCCGGAATCGAATTCCGAGGTCCCAAGCCCGAAAAATGAATTTTTAAGTGAAATTGTTTTCAGAAATTGATTAAGGAAATTTGAATTGAAAACGGATTAGAAAGCAATGGTATCGGGTATGTATTTTGGTTCTGGCACCCGGTACAGGTCTTATATATGACTTGAGTCACTCCTGTGAAATTTGGTTAAAAACGGACGTCGTTTGACGTGATCCGGACCTTAATTGAGAAATTTGAAGTTTAAAAGAGTTTTGAGAAATTTCATTGATCTCGAGGTTTAATTCGATGCTCGTGATGTTATTTTGGTAATTTGATTACACGAATATGTCCGTAGGATGTTTTTGAGGTTGTGTATATACTTAGGTTGGCGTTTTGAGGGCTCGGGTGAGTTTCGAGTAGGTTCCGGGATGCCTTAGGCTTAGAAAGTCAGGTGTTGCAGGTTCAGGAAGCCACGGTCTCTGAACTCTCTAGTGTGGTCCGAGAGAAATCGTGTGCGACCACGGAGGGGCCAGTGCGGCCGCGGTCGCCTTTGTGCAGTCCGTGGTGGAAGCTGTGCGGCCGTAGTTGCCTTTGTGCGGTCCGCACAGGGTGCTGAACTGCAGGTCTTTAAGGAAGGGCCAGCGCAGCCGCGGTCGCCTTTGTGCTGTCCGTGGTGGAGGCTGTGCGGCCGCGGTCCATTTGATGCGGTCCGCACTGGGGGTCTGAGAGGGGTATAGATAAACGGGAATTTTAGTTATTTTTCACTTTAAAACACCAAAACATAAGAGGCGATTTTTCAAACAACCTTTCTTCTCCAAAACGTTGATAAGTGATTTCTAACTCACTTTCTTTACTCCTTAACATCTTTTAACATGATTTCAACTTTAAATCAAAGATTTTCATGGGGGAAATTGGGTATTTTGGGTAAAACCTAGATTTTCTAAAATTGCGGATTTGGACCTCAATTTGAGGTTCGATTTCAAAACAAATTATATATTTGGATTCGTGGGAGAATGGGTAATCGGGTTTTAGTCCGAACCTCGGGTTTCGACCATTTGGGCTCGGGGGGTGATTTCTGACTTTTGGGTAAAACTTTAAAAAACGCATTTTCATGCATTGAGGTGTATTCATTTAGCACTTATTGATGTAATTAAGTAACTTGTGACTAGATTCGAGCGGATTGGTGGTGGAATCAAGGGGTAAAGCTATAGTTGAGACTTGAGTGATGATTAAGGCATCGAGGTAAGTGTTTGGTCTAACCCTAGCTTGAGGGATTAGGAGTTGAGTCATACTTGCTACGTACTTCTTATTGAGTATGACATATAGGCATGGTGACGAGTATCTATATGTTGGTGTTAAGCATGACTGTGAGTCTTAAATTGAAAGTTGTTGTGTTCTTAAATGACACTTGGGTGCTTTACTTAATGATCTTCTATGATTGAGCATTTTCAATAATTGAACTGAGTACAAGTTGAGTTGAGGTTNAAATGACACTTGGGTGCTTTACTTAATGATCTTCTATGATTGAGCATTTTCAATAATTGAACTGAGTGCAAGTAGAGTTGAGATTGGTTATAGTTGATTCTCCCTTGCCGGGATGACTAATTCAATATTGTTGTTCCCTTGCCGGGAAAATTATAACATTGTTGTGTTCCCTTGCCGGGAAGTTATTATACTATTTATGTTCCCTTGCCGGGATTTCTTGTGATTGTGTGATGAAATGTAAAAGGGAGCGGGTGGTACGCCTACCACAAGATATAATGAAATGGGAGCGGGTGGTACACCTACCACAAGATATAATTAAATGGGAGCAGGTGGTACGCCTACCACAAGATATAATAAAATGGGAGCGGGTGGTACGCCTACCATAAGATATAATGAAATGGGAGTGGGTGGTACGCCTACCACGAGATATAATGAAATGGAAGCGGGTGGTACGCCTACCACAAGATATACTGAAATGGGAGCGGCTGATATGCCTACTACAAGATATGAGAAATGGGATTGGGTTGCACGTCTACAACAAGATGAAACTGAAAATGAAAGTTGCCTTATTTCTTTTTATCCGTGTTAGAAGTTAAATTATAGTTTCCTTACTATTCTTTGATATTCTGTTTTATCTGCTACCCCGGAGCATGTTTCCCCTTTCCCAACTTTGATTGCTTATTACATGTTTACTTTTCTGCCATATAGTATATAACTGCACAGGTTTATCTGGAGTCTGATCCTAGCCTCGTCACTACCTCGCCGGGGTTAGGTCAGACACTTACCAGCACATGGGGTCGGTTGTGCTGATACTACACTCTCTACTCTTTTGCACGGATCCAGGTCTTGGATAGCAGTAGTAGCGCGAGAGCCAGCTTTCAGTCCTGTGAGACACCAAGGTAGCCTTGCAAGCGTCTGTAGGCCCAACGTCTCCTCTATCTTTATTTCAGTCTTTTATCTCATGTATTCGAGACAAACAATTTATATTTTTCTTTCAAATGGTTGTATTTAGTACTCTTAGAAGTTCGTGAGTAATGTGACACCAGTTCTTGGGTAGAGGCATATGTTGATTTCCGTATTATTGTTCAGTTTATTTAATTTAAGTCTTCCGTATATTCATTAAATTTCGCTGTTTTCATGCTATCACTGATAATCATTAAAAGAAGTAATTCGTTAATGAAGTAAGCTGTTAAGGATTGTCTTGCCTAGCTCATATTAGTAGGCGCCATCACGACTCCCGAGGGTGGGAATTCCGGGTCGTGACAAGTTGGTATCAGAGCTCTAGGTTACAAAGGTCTCACAACTCATGGATAAGCTCAGTAGAATCTAAGGGATCGGTACGAAGACGTCTGTATTTATCCCCAAAGGCTATAGAGTTAGGAAAATCTCACATTTGTTCTTTCTTGTCGTGCGGATTTGTTCCTCAAATGCTAATTTGATTTCTACTCTGTTCTCTCACAGATGGCGAGAACACGCACTTCCTCATCTACCGCTCAGTAGCCCGAGCCCCTAGAAGCAGCTCCCACTAGGGGCAGAGGCCGAGGTCGTGTTAGAGGCCGAGGTAGGGGCAGAGCTCAGCCCCGAGCAGCAGTACCAGCGGCGGAGCCTTAGGTTGATTTTGAGAGGAGGTTCCAGCCCCAGCAATTCCGATGGGCCCAGCTCAGGTCCTAAAGGGGTTCATTGCCACCCCAGTTCTTCAGGACGCTCTAGTCCGATTGGTGGGCCTCATGGAGA